TGTATGCTGACATGTGCTTGTCAATGTCCTGTATGCGACATGTCCTGTATGCTGACATGTGTTGTCAATGTCCTGTATGCTGACATGTGTTGTCAATGTCATGCTGACATGTGTGTCATGTCCTGTATGCTCATGTGTTGTCAATGTCCTGTATGCTGACATGTGTTGTCAATGTCCTGTATGTCCTGTATGCTGACATGTGTTGTCAATGTCCTGTATGCTGACATGTGTTGTCAATGTCCTGTATGCTGACATGTGTTGTCAATGTCCTGTATGTCCTGTATACGTATTGTCAATGTCCTGTATGCTGACATGTGTTGTCAATGTCCTGTATGCTGACATGTGTTGTCAATGTCCTGTATGCTGACATGTGTTGTCAATGTCCTGTATGCTGACATGTGTTGTCAATGTCCTGTATGCTGACATGTGTTGTCAATGTCCTGTATGCTGACATGTGTTGCCAATGTCCTGTATGCTGACATGTGTTGCCAATGTCCTGTATGTCCTGTATTCTGACATAAGTTGTCAATGTCCTGTATGCTGACATGTGTTGTCAATGTCCTGTATGCCGACATGTCTTGTCAATGTCCTGTATGCTGACATGTGTTGTCAATGTCCTGTATGCTGACATGTGTTGTCAATGTCCTGTATGGTGACATGTGTTGTCAATGTCCTGTATGCTGACATGTGTTGTCAATGTCCTGTATGCTGACATGTGTTGTCAATGTCCTGTATGCTGACATGTGTTGTCAATGTCCTGTATGCTATGCTGACATGTGTTGTCAATGTCCTGTATGCTGACATGTGTTGCCAATGTCCTGTATGCTGACATGTGTTGCCGCATGTAAAGAAGTACGTAAATAATGGGATGTTCAAAACCTTAAATTTCACATTCAAAAACGCTGAAACAAATTTCTGTTGAACCCCAAGGACATTCGTGTGCTCCATCTACGTGTAACTTAAAACGATAACCACATTTTAGTTCGGCATAGTGTAAAACCTGGCGTCCCATTCGGCATAGTGTAAAACCTGGCGGCTGGGTTGAAGTTACAATCTATACACAATCTATACACATCTATAGTGGTGTGATTGGCATTCAGCATATTTTCACTATTCTCGTAGCTACATTTCCAAAGTAAACACATGTTGCGAGCACTAAAACGCATATTAACTGACATGAACCATGTACACGTACTTCCTTTCATTCAGGTATATGCAAAATACAAAATATGAAATACTATTGCTGAAACATGTAATATTCAAAATTATCATATTGTTTTCGGTTTTTACAATATTTCTAAATGCGCTTGTGTCTGTGTTTTCTGGCCCATCACTTGTTTTGTCTGGTTTGGTTCCAGGATGCCACCATGTGAAGTATGTTGTACAGTGTCGGCAACAATCAAGCAATAGTTATTTTTTTTAAATCCGTTCTTAAAATTTTAATGATATATTTTTCCCTTGGTGTTCGATGCAGCGGGGGATGAGTGTTCTGTTGTTGGATAGATAACATTATAATGTCAGTGGCTGTATTTCCATTATGAGTATAGCGTTTAAGTTAAACACATGTGTCATATTATATATATTTACAATTTTACTTGTACCAGGGTTATTCTCCGCAACCCGGAGACAATTAACGGCCACCTACCACCTAGTTGCTGCCACTCACTGCGGTATCAGACTGGCTATCAAATCATCTCTAAATAGTTGTTGAGGGCAAATTCCTACCTATGGTAAAATGCATTTAAAGTATGTAACTAACAGCCAAACGCCAACCATCTGACCCCAGTCGAAAAAAGCCAAACGCCATCCTACAAGAGCCAGGTTTTACAACATGCCCAGGCTAACAAGCACACGTCAGTCAAGGAAATATATTTTTCATTACAAATCAAATTATAATTTAAAAAGAATAATTTAAAAAACACACGAAGATAATGAAGTATATGTTAAATCTATGTTTTGTTGTCAAGGAATAAGAGTAAAATGGACTACCTCACCTAATATATTTTTAAACTCTTTGATTCGCAGATACAACCAATAATGTTATATGGATCTGATATTTGGGGTTATCAAAGATACGATTGTTTAGAAAAACTTCACCTTTTAGCATGCAAAAGATATTTATCCGTTGGATTATCTACACCAAACTGTATGATTTACGGCGAATGTGGAAGACACCCAATATATATCAATTCTCAGATTAGATGCTTGAAATATTGGATAAAACTTATTGGTATGCATGAAAATAGAATTCCAAAGCTGGCTTATAATATGCTTTTACATTTAGACAATATCGGTAAAATTACATGGGCATCCCACGTAAGAAACATTTTGTTCTCTCATGGTTTTGGTTTTATTTGGATGAGCCAAACTATTGGGAATGTCAGTCTCTTTTATATAATTTTAAAACACCAAGCCATTGATATGTTCTATCAGAATTGGCATTCTACCCTTCACGACAGCTCAAGGTATGACTGCTACAGGACATTTAAAAGTTTACTCCAGTCTGAAAAATATTTGTCTGTTTTATATTCTAAAGATTTAAGAAATATTTTTATCAAATTTAGACTTGGTTTGTTAAATTTAATGATAAATGAAGGCAGGAAAATGTCCATAGATAAGAACAGGAGACTTTGTCCGCTATGTAAATCCGCAGTTGAGAATGAAATCCACTTTATGCTAGTCTGTCCATCCTACTCCATTCTCAGAAGCAAATATATTCCACACCCTTTTTGTCAAAATCTCCTGCTCTAGCTTTCTCATCCTTGATGTCTTCTCAAAATGATAATGTAATTTTAATCTGTCATTATTTATCAAACATAGTATGAGACTAAGAAATGTACTGTTAAATAGTTTAAAACGCAAGAACGAAAATTTCACAATAGATTGTCATCTTGTTCTTCCACTATTATATATGGTATTCTGTATATTATTTGCAAATGTATATTTGTATGTGGGCCGGAGGCCTTAAATACAATAAACTCTTTGACTTGACTTGACTTGACTTCAGCACTTCGTTATCTTCTTGTGTATTTAAATGATTCTTTCTACTTTATAATTTTATTTGTAATGAAAGATATATTTCCTTGACTGAGGTATACTTCTTAGCCTGGACATTTGGACCCCGGAAGTGTTTGGTGTAGGAAATGGAAATATATACAACCAATTGTATACCTTCATATACAACACACACGCACACATGTATAGAATTTACAGGTATATGATTGGTTGTCATGGCCTCGTCGGTATCATGTCGGTATCATGTCGGTATCATATATGATGAACATCAGAACAACATTAACTCACAAATAATTGGATTAAGCCAGATGAGGAGTTAGGAAATACACAGCGCATATACAGGTGATATGAGGCCAGATGCTCGGCTTGGGTTACCAGGTTGAACAAGCATTATAGCATCATATAGTCCAGTTAAAACAATCATACTTTCTTTTCATTCTGTAACCTTGATCAGTTAACAGTATGAAGCAGTCGGCTTTCTAAATAGTGTGGGTGCAGTTTTGAATTTAGTACACGATCCGTCTCAACTAGTACCCGATGATTTCTGCACCCGTTTGGGAAATATGAGTCTGTATATACAGGTTGTCTTGGCCGCGTCGGTATCATGTTACACATGTTTATATAGATTCTATCTCGGTGTACGTGTATCTTAGTGGAGTTTCGGTATATGCCGATTATGTTTCCGTGTACGGGTTACAAAGGCTGTTTCAGTATACGCGTCTTGGTCGTATACATGCAGGAATATACTATGTTCCGATATAAAGCTATCTCGCAATTTATAACCATAGCACTGAGAACATCAAAATTGTATATATACGTATTACATTTCTTTGTTGATACACAGTGTCTGTAAGTCCCTCACTATAAGAAAAAAAGACATGCACCTTCCACAAAACACCATTGCTAATTCTCTTGAAAGCTAGTACAAACTTCTAGTTATGTAAAAACGATTTTCACAGGCAAATTTGAACTAGTTACCATGGAAACGAAAAAGTAATGAAAACCATCTTCATCATGGGCAAGGGAGATCTCAACAACATACATGCGGCGGGTAGCTGTATATAACCATGGCATACATACAAAGTAAACTTATATCTAAAACGTATTTGGTGACGATGATAATTGATGACATTAGAGCCCATCTATATGATACAGAAATCTATATACCTCTGTATAATCTCCCACCGACATGTGATTGCAGGGTAACAATGTAACCGGGGCACAAGATATTATTCAGCACAAAGCTCACAATAAATATAACAGCTGTGTTGCACTGAAATGTGGTACAGTGTTATTTACATGACTTGTGAGTGAAGTTTGTTTGTATGTTCAAGTAAGTAAAAGTTGGGGAACGACACTGCATAGTTAATCTTTACCCAATGATACTCCGATTAGTTCCGTCGCCTTGCAAAACGTCCACAGCTGTTATGGTGCGAGTGTCGTATCGATTACATACCAGATTGTTCAGTTTTTACTGTCCTACAGATCATATTTAATATACATTCATGCATGTACATGCACGACCGCGATGTCCATGAGGTGGCAAAATATTCAATGTTTAGCACACATGTGAGGCACTTTCGTCAAGAAATTAGTTGCCAGGTTACTACACTCGACCAACAAAGGGTGCGTCATTCACAAGCGGGCTCAAAGCTGTAACACTGCATTACCTTGCCATTGATTTTCTTTAGACATTGCTGTAGGGAACCTATCAAAATTAGGAAACACATTTATTGTCAATATTGTCTTACTTTTGACTAATAACATACGCAATATTTTACCCACATGTAAATACGTAATGCTGTTTTGTCCATTCCATTGTTCTTACACAAAACACAAATATTTGTATTGATGATGACAGCATGGTTACTGTCTATAAGAAAGGTGAACCGTTTCTTTTTGAACTGGTCCCTAACACCGGATCTTATTTCCATGCGTAACTAAGAAGGCGCACACCGCTTTTGCACACGAGCTTATGATTCATTTCGCAGTCGGTATCACGAAGCAACAGCCAGACTCAGCATCCGCCATTTTGGAAAGTGCCGCTCAGGCCCTTCCTTTTTCAAATCGAATCTAGTTGTTGAAGAATCGCCGATCGCTTCACATTTCGACACTTCTGGTGGAGATTGCCAGAATGACTGACCAGGCGAAAGAGTTTGACGAGTTGGTGTACAAGGCCAGATTGGCAGAGCAGGCTGAAAGGTACGATGATATGGCCGAGGCGATGAGACAAGTGACAGAGCGTGATCAGAAAGCGCTTACCCCCGATCAGCGAAATCTACTGTCAGTGGCATTTAAGAATGTTGTCGGCGCTAGAAGATCGTCGTGGAGGGTTGTTTGTATGATCGAAAACAAGCCAGAAACAGCGGACAGGAAGAAGGAAATTGCTAAAGAGTTTCGACAAAGTATAGAGAAAGAACTGAATAAGACATGTAATGTTGTTTTGGAATTATTGGACAAGCATCTCATCGAGAAAGCAGAGGACGACCCAGCAAAAGTATTTTACCTGAAGATGAAAGGCGATTACTACAGGTATATTGCTGAATTCTCCGAAGGCGGCAGCAAGGCAGAGGTCCAGCAGAAAGCTCAACAAGCTTATGAAGAAGCATACGAAATCGCAAAGAAAAAAATGGAAAAAACGCATCCCAACCGTTTAGGCTTGGCACTGAACTTTTCTGTTTTCTATTATGAAATTCTAAATTCTCCAGACAAGGCATGTGCTTTGGCAAAGGAAGCCTTCGATGACGCCATAGTAGAGATAGATCAACTTGGCTGTGAGGACTATAAGGACAGTTCACTTATAATGCAACTCCTGCGTGACAACCTGACACTGTGGACGTCTGATGCTGCCTGTGAGGACGAACAGGGGCAGACACAGGAGTGAACACTGAAAAGAAACTGTGCGAAAATTGGTTGAATGTGAAGTTGGAACAGTCTCAATAGTCACTCTTGTTCTCTCGTTTGTCCCATGGACTCCAAAGCTTGGACTAGTTGAATTTGCTGCTTGCACACTCTCCAGAATGACAGTATCATGTATGAATTACAGAGTTGTGCCAGGAAAGAGTTTTCGTATTTTGCTTGTTTCCTCTTGAGAAAGCTTGGACACCCATACTACTGAGTACTGACTCTTCATATCATGTTTTTTCTTGTCCAAAGTTATAATATGATATCTGTGAGGATAGTTTGTTGACATTTTAATAACACTGGACATTTTAGTGGCATACAGGTAGTGACGGTTTTGTCAGAATTTTTAAGTTCTCTACTTTAATTGCAGAAAGAAAGATAGGCTAACAATTTTTTAAGTGCTTGATAATATATAGATAAGCAACATGTCTTAAATTGTTATGTAATCTTGATCAATATTAAAGCTCTATGATACATCCACCCAAATAACTTGTGTTTATGTTTTTCCATAGAATAAATTAGGACATGACAAAATATACTGTCAGCAAGCACTGGTTCCATCTATTCCATTGGAGTTACCCCCCTTGTCTAGTGCATGTGCTAGGTCACCGCCACATTTGAATGATCAGAGTGATCCAGATATGACTCAATGTCTATTTACTGAGAATGATTGAAGTATTTGTGATAAATCATGACTGTTTTTAGATTAGTTAGTGTAATTCTGCTGTTAATCTTGGCTGTGGCATAAATTTGTACAATTTTCCATTTACAAATTGACTTCATCTATGATATGTATTGGCATCTGAATTAAAGTGATTTTCATGTCCATTTCTAAGCTTTTGAGAATTTTAATCTTGACTTTATGTAAATTGACACTTTTTATAAATCTTGTCACCTTCCACTCTCATGGCAACAAGGATTGTTATGAAACACAAGCTGTATTTTGTTGATTATTATTACCCTCTTCGTGGTAATGCATGTTAAGTTGCAAACAGTATTTATCTGCGGCAACCTATACTCAAATGGCAATTTGCTTTTGACATATCGCGAAAGTGTAACCTGTTCTGTATTGAATAGTGACAACTTTCAAGAAGTTTCGTAGCCAAATTGGAAATTTAGGACTAAATAATGGTAACGTAGCTAGTATAAGACATAAACATTGGAGTTGTCAGCTTGAGCTTGCCTCTGTGATATTTAATAGATGTGTGTGATATAAGGACTGTTTAGTGTTAGTAATTGACTGAAGTATTTTGTCGAGAATGTGCCAATGTAGGAGGTTATTTTTTTTGTTCCACAAATACAGTATCTAACTTTGGACAGCAGGACGATGTATAAGCAATTGTTTTCGATTTCAAATGGCGTCAACATTAGTATCTATCAGTTAATCAAATCTGTTAATCCATGAGTCTGACAGGCACTCCTACCTCACTGTTAATTGAAATCTTGTGAGTTGTACTTTGTTTGATAGGTGGCAATACTTGAATTACTGCCAGACCAATCACTGCCTTGCTTTTGATTGACCAATTTTGTAGATCACATTCTATGGTAGCTCACTCACAATCTTGCTGGTTGGCTAAATGCTTGTAACATTTAATCTTTTGTGGCATGGGTACAACAAAACACAAAGTAAATATGTTGAGGGATATGTATCTTAAATATTTTACAAACTGTCAAACAAGAAAATATGCTGATAAACTAACAATACTCTTGAATCATTGTGCATGACCAGGGATTCTAATTTCAAATTAGAACTATATTAGATGCTTACAAATGATGTGTGAGTGAGTCAGGTTTTGTGCTGCCTTTAGCAATATTCCAGTAATGTTAGGGCGGGGGACACCAGAAATTGTACTGGCAGTTGCACAAATATCTACCTCTAGATCAAGAGAATAATTAATCCCAGTACATGTATTGAAATATTTTGACAGAACAACAAAAGTTTCAGTATATTTTGTGTTGAGGATCTTTGAAACTGCATGACACCAGGGAATATGCCTAAAGAGGAATGTTAATTCATTGAATAGGAACCAGTTGAATTGCCACTAGAATTATGGGATGAAAGATTTATGTTTATATGGGTGTTCTGAGGAAAACTGATCTAAGGTTATCTAATACGGATAATTTATAGTTTGTTAAATAACCCAGGTCAGGTGCAGAGGAGCCAGTGGTTGACACAGAGGTTAAGGTCTCAGCCTGTCAGGGGAGAATGACATGTTATCAATCAGATCACCTGGCATGACATAACAATCCTCTTCAGCACTTAGTACAAGATGCATGAGGGCTTTTCACGTTCAGCACCCAGCATGGGCATCATTACTAAACTGTTAATATCCTTACAGGCAAAACGGGGCGGTGGGGTAGCCTATCGGTTAAAGCGTTGGCTCGTCACGCCGAAGACCCGGGTTCGGATCCCCACATGGCTACATTGTGTGAAGCCCATTTCTGGTGTCCCCCCCGCCGTGATGTTGCTGGAATATTGCTGAAAGCGGTGTAAAACCAAACTCAGTCAGTCAGTTGCAGGCAAAACAGCATTTTCGTGTAGGGCAACATTTGGAATACAGCTAGCTCACATGTTCCTTGTATCTGCACTTAAGGGCAGGTAATGAAAGACATTCTTCATATTCAGGATAATAATGTTTCTAGTTAAGAACTAGACTGCAATATTTACATACATGTATTACTTGTAGCCATCCTAGCCAAGCCTTTAAGGGATAAAGATCGTGTTTGTTCCACATTCACCATTATGCTAAAGATGTGATGAGTGCTTGTGAATCAAGTCTGAACCAGACAATCCGGTGATGATAGTTGTTGGGGCTGTTGGACACTAAGTCTACAGTTTTTGCCAACTGATCCATGAAGTTGACTGTCCAAGCAAAGGCTGTTGCTGACCAGATCTGGGGGCTTTCAAAACTAAACAATGACTAGCTTGCAGGTCCATGACTTGAGGTAAAATTCTTATTCCTCTCCCTCGACTTGAACTACTGCATACATTGGTATCTGTGTTTAGCCAGGTGCTATGAAGAGAATTAAATGAAAACAACGAATGATGTTTTAACCTATTACAGTTAAATGGCAGTAATCAGACACTATATGTAGTTTGTACATGGGAGTTGACATCACATTCCAAGTCAAACACAACTACCAAAGTAAACTGTTTTGTATGTGCACAGATGCTCCCCAGTTTTAGCACTCCTGACAAAGTCTAGTAACTCAAGAGGCCTTGTTCCTCCACCCATAACTCAAGTGTGACAGACATGTTCTGTTTTGTTTTCTGTGCCTGTGCCATTGAAACTGGGTATGCACTTTCAGGGCTACAGTATCCCTAAAACAGACAACCATTCCAATTCGTCTTTAAGTGTTGCAGACTGCCCTATTGAAAATGCCAATGTCTTTTTCTCCATTTTTCATGTAGCATTATGAAATCTCACATACAGCAAAATAATGTGTTGTTTGTAAACATGGTAAAATAACATACTAGTATATGGCTTTGGCATATTATGATGCATGTCCCCTCTACGACCATGATCTTCACACAGTTTTACCGTGTTGCTGCCGTTTTCACATCTGTGATACTACCAGGCCTATGGAGCTAACTACACATGTATTCCACTTGTGAGATGTTTAAACATCAGGGCCCCGTTTCACAAAGCTATCGTAGTACTAAGCAAGGTCGTAAGTCTATGTTACAGTATAGGAGGTACGACAGTCGTAGCGCTACGATAGCTTTAAACATGTTGCCTATTCTGTACAATAAAAAGCGCGCTATAGTATAGCCTCACGATTCTTCTTTTTTAAAGTATTTGACTGTCTGGACATTATTACACATGTTCACAAATGGCGTAGAAGATATATCCACAATGCGAGTAGATTGTGTGCCAAGCCAGATTAGGACACAATAAGTGCACAGATATATTTTGAACTTGTTGAGTGAGTGAGTTTAGTTTTACGTCGCTTTTAGCAATATCCCAGCAATATCACGGCGGGGGACACCAGAAATAGGCTTTATACATTATACTCTTTTGGGGAAACGAACCTGGGCCTTCGGCGTGACGAGCGAACGCTTTAACCATCAGGCTACCCCACCGCCCCTTTAACGTGTTTAAATGTGCAGTGTCCACAGAAATGATTATCTGATTCAGATGATGGTGACGATAACACTGATAGCAAATGTTCCACTTAGTGACACTGTACATTGTGCAGGTCAGTCACTGACATAGAGTCTCTGATATGAACATATTTTACAGAAACAACGGTTCCTAAATTATAATCATAAAATGTAATGAAAAGGAGTCCAGAGGCTTTCTTCCTGAAACTGTGGTAATCTAGACTTGCCATATATTATAGACTTGCATGGGCTTTCTTGGATATATGTCATTCAGACAGGGGCGTAGCTACCATAATGAAAAAAGCCCGGGCTTACACATGCTTGTTAAAAAGTTGGGCAAGGCCTCAATACTATCTAAATATCTAGGTTTGCAGCCTGTGGGGCTTACACGAAAAAACTGGCTTGCTACAGCCTGTCAGGCTCTCTATCAGTATGAGAGATTAGTCGGTTACATGCGCATTCCTTGTGTTGCAAGTAGCCTCTCACTGTCGTGACCGCTGATTGTGATCAGCTTTATTTTTGTTAGCAATTGCTCCCTACATGTTCGGGACACAAAACAATGATCATGGAAAAGTATGTTTGGAAAGCTTTATATTACAAATGCATTTCTTTCAGAACTTAACGAATTCCAGTGTGATCATCAGCGGTCAAACATGCAAGGATAAAAAACAAACGCGACGTAGCACTGCCAGCTGTAGCCCGCAACAACATTAACTCCTGTCCTCAACTGCAGCTTTAACGACAGATTTTGACAAACACGTGCGACATCATGACTCTAGAATATCAGCAAGGGGACAGTCCAGGAGTAAGCATTTACTCCTGTGTTTTCTGACAATTGGAAGAAATGCTTCTCGTTTTCAGTATATCCCGGTAATTAGCAGTCATGCCTAATGTGCTATTGAAACGCTCCACAGGTTAGCTGGTTGTTTAACGCCGCAGTCCACAATAGTCAAGCTATATGGCGGCGGTCTGTAAATAATCGAGTCTGGACCAGAAAATCCAGTGATCAACAGCATGAGCATCGATCTGCGCAGTTGGGAACTGATGACATGTGGCAACCAAGTCAGCGAGCCTGACCACCCGATCCCATTGGTCACCTCTTACGACAAGCATGGGTTACTGAAGATCGATATTCTAACCCGGATCTTCTGAGATTTATCGATAGCGTTCAGTTCCTGCTGTCGTCTCTAGACAGTCTGGTGAACGCCAACGACCCGGACGACTTCGACATCACCAATCGATACACCGACGCCGAGACTCGATCCCTGCTTCTGAGGAAGGGCGTCTACCCCTACAAGTACATGGACGATTGGTCTAAGTTCGACGAGACGCGACTACCTCCCATCGACCGCTTTTACAGCAACTTGACCGATTCCAATATCTCTCAAGATGATTACGCGCACGCGAGTAACGTGTGGGACAAACTGGGCTGCTAGAATTCGGGCGATTACCATGAAATGTACTTGAAAACGGACGTGCTGCTGCTGGCCGACGTGTTCGAGATATTCAGAAAAACGTGCTTGAAACAGTACGGCCTGGACCCCGCGTGGTATTTCTCATCCCCCGGTCTCTCTTGGGACGCCTTGTTGACAAAGACCGGCGTGGAGCTGAAACTACTGACGGATTACGACATGCACCTGTTCGTGGAGAAAGGCTTGCAAGGTGGGATTTCCATGGCCTCCAAACGATATGCCAAAGCCAACAACAAGTACGTTCCCGGTCACGACCCCGGCAAACCGACCAAACACATACTCTATCTCGACGCCAACAACCTGTACGGCTGGGCCATGAGTCAGTATCTCCCCACCGGGGGATTCGAATGGGTCTCCT